TGTCCATCTTGGGTCTACGCTGAAAGATACTTCACTCTTAATAGAAAGTTGATGGAAAGTTCTTGGGTATTTTCCCAGACCCGCTCCTGCTGCCTTGCCCCCGCCTTTCATAGTTGCCTTTTGAGGGAGGAGGGAGAGCCAAGGTGCGCTCAGCTGACTCTGCACGCACTCCAAGCATTGGCAGTTAGTTGCACATAGCATGTACGGCTCACGCACACAAAATTGCGTTTCGCTGTATTAAGCCAACTGTGCTCTGTATAAGTAATCCACACTGAGGCTAACCACTGAGTCAAACCACTTGCTATTTGGATTTAACAATAGGGGCAGAATGTGTTGAAGCATAGAATAGCCAACTACAAGCAGCGCTTGCAACAACGCACCTTGCATGGATTTTCATGCCCTCGGCAAAAAGGCACCTGCCTTGTGAGGAAGTGGTGCGGAAATGTTCGCATCATGGCAGGAGTTGGAATACTCTTGCTTTTTTTGTGTTTCCAACGATGTCACTTTCTACCTGTTCACTGAAGTGGAAGACGAAAAGCTACGGGTGAATGTTTGCTTCAACCCCATGGAAACAACTTCACCCGCCAATGCTACGAAAATGGATACCAACTAATTCGTTTAGAAAAGGCTAGCAAAGTGTGTGGAGCATTTATTTCTTACTGCTTTGTGTGTGACTACTGATTCGATCACTAGACTGCACTGATTGGAGCATCCCAAAGCATTTGGAAGACAGACAGATTTATTTATGCAAATTTGCTGTACACCGACTATAGGCCTTCTGAACCATACATGAATAATAGGGAAATAGTCAAAGATGAGGGAGTTCGCAGGTTTGTTGGAGATGGGTACATTGTCCAGAGTGTAAACCAGACCAGGAATTTAGGATCTCACGTTGTCCAAACACATAGGCATAAGCATGAAATCAATTGCCATACGGTTTTTTATAAAGTGAAACGCAAAAATAACTGAGACTAGCCCAAAGGAAAACAAAAATAAGCAAATAGAGACCCTTTCCGGTCAGTTCAAGTGTGTGCAATTGTCCAAAGCAGCGCAGTCCGCTCTGCTTTCGGTCCCGCACAACAAAACTAGTCACTTGCCTATACTTTTGGCATTAATAGCGAGCAAATCCGATGTATTTATGTAAAATTTCTTCTTAATGCAGGGGGCCTGGTTGGGGTTGAAGTGATAGCGTCTGCCTGAGGTCTCTCAACCAAAAAGGCATTCACAGCTTCCAGCAATGCCCAGAGGTCAGCCTGAAGGAGAGCGGATCTGCACAGGGGACAAGCGGAGACTGGAAGAATCAGCAACTCAGCTTCCCGGTGCAGGAAAGCATCCTCAGAAGAAGGGCTGCTCCGAAACTTCAAGCTCTCTCTGTTGGCTGAAGGATAGCTCAGTTGACCACAGGAGGGTTCGCTGCCTGACACCTGCCCGAACCCAGCCAAACACACTAGGGAAAACGGTTGTCTGTCTCCTGCAAAGAGACCTTAGACTCCAAGACAACTGGGCGCTACTCTTTGCACAGGTCCGCTAGCTTGTATATACCACCGCTTTTCTGTAAATACATAAAAGGGACAACTATCAACCGCTTCACAGAACAGAATGCTTGGAGCGTTTATTGAACCCTGTAGTTCGAGCCGTTCATAGTTCCTTGTCTGCAGTTGAAAGATTTGCTCGACGTCAGGTCTGGATACCTCGCTTGCGGTGTATTTGTAATTATGCGTTCCTTAGGAAGCAGCGCTTACCCTAGGAACTCCTTTGTACGTTTTGCATCTGGTGATTCCAGGGCATACGTTTCAACCAACAATTCGGCATGTGTCCTTCCATCTGTCAAGCCTCGAAGAGTTCGCTACAGACCTAGCAAATCAGAGCATTGGTTTTCGGTGCATCCCTATCAGCACAGCCGACGATGATAAGGCTTCCACATGCGAAGCACGTTCCTGCATTGAATCAACTGTGACAGAGCTCAAGCCATGTCTCATGGTCTGCGATCTTATGCCTCTCAGGTAGACAGTGATGACGTGTGCATATACTCGACTTTGCATCCCTCGCTCGACCAAAACAACTGCAGATGAATCAAATAATTGGACTTCAGGTACACACAGGTTTCGAGCATTTTGTGGATGGACTGTGTTTTGTAGGCGTCCTTCTGAATTGGTGAAGCAAGCTGCCAACGTGTGCGTCACCAAGGGACAATGCCCCTTATACCAAGTTGATTCCCACAATATTGTACCTGTTTGGCTGGCCTCAGATAAGCAAGAAGTAAGCAGGAAGAGACCAATGGCAAATTTTTATGCATTAAGACCGGGGAAATGTGTGTTGTGTAGTGTGGGGCGTCCCCCAGTAGTGACCTAGATTTAGCGGTGTGGAGACGCTACATCAGCAAAAAGGTGGGGTGGTAATCACGCATAGGTTTTTGTTACATGCTTGTTTTACGTGTTTTGCAGTACTCGGCTCGCACTTTCCGTGTCCGGGTAACGCGCTTCCTTAGGGAATTTGCATGTGAGATTCCTCGTATAGGACAACATCCCCATAAACTTCAGACCGAGGATGGGCAAACACTCAAAATACCAGATATTTTGAACAGGCTAAAACTGGACCACAGCGTGCGCCTTCCCTCGCAGTGGCTGCCGGGATCAAAAGCGGGCCTTGCAGCACTCCAGGAGTTTTGTACTCGGCCACGTTTGCTTGCGTATGCCTCCCGTAACGATCCCCTTGAGCGAGGACAGAGCGGCCTTTCACCTTGGCTCCATTTCGGACAGCTTTCCTCCCAGCGTTGTCTTCTGACCATTAATTCACTTGGGCCTGGTACTAAGATCGGCGCGTTGGCGGCAGCGGCGCGAGAGAGCTTCATTGAGGAACTCGTTGTGAGGAGGGAGCTCGCAGAGAACTTCATTTTCTACAACAGCAAATACGATGAGATTCAGGGAGCACCCAAATGGGCACAAGACACTCTGAACGCCCATAGGGGAGACAAAAGGGAACATATATACTCTCTGTCTCATTTTGAAGGTGCGAAGACCCATGAAGCCCTCTGGAACGCAGCCCAGTTGCAACTCGTACACGACGGGAAGATGCATGGTTTCATGCGAATGTACTGGGCGAAAAAGATTCTAGAGTGGGCAGCCTCCCCAGAGTCTGCGCTGAAAATTTCGTTACACTTGAATGACAAGTATTCACTAGACGGAACAGACCCAAATGGTGTAGTTGGATGCATGTGGAGCATCGCAGGAGTGCATGATCAGGGCTGGGCGGAGCGCCCCATTTTCGGCAAAGTGCGGTACATGAACCTTGCGGGTTGCAAACGCAAGTTTTCGGTTGACGAGTTCATTCGGCGTACCAGTGTGGTGGCTGCCACAGCACTTAAAGTGGCGAAGAAAGGTTAGAGGACCAAAGGGCAGAGCAAGCCCCATGCATCAGAAAGCGTAGGGTGAAATACAAGCTGAAACAAGAAAAAGGTTGAAGGTCCACCTTCGCTGTATGCTCTGGCAACAACACTATGGCTGGTCGCGGAAGCATTTCAAAACACCTGGCGAATGCAGACACCTCCTATCAGTAGTTTTGCGTGATGGAATTCACCAATAAATAGACACGCCAAAGACTACCTCCCTGCAGCGTGTAAGCGTGTAGGGTGAAATCTACAGCGCCTTCGCGCATATATATGTTTGTCGAATCAAGAACTAAAACTCGAACATGACGAACACGCGACCCAATTTTTTGACGAAATGATGGTGTGGGACGCATGCACGGCCTGTGGGTTAGATCTCAGTAGCGATACTTCGTTGAATAGTCCTTCGGCGATATCACCAGACCGCGCCCTGCACAGCAAAATTCAGGAATGATGCCAACTCAATGATGAAGTTTTAGACAGAACAATGCTTCAAGGAGAAAACAGCTATGCACTGTGCATCCAATATGATTGGGACACTATTGCTTGAAAGCATGTGCAGATGAGGGGCAAGACAAGCACTGCAGACCTTTGCGAGCCCCTCTATAGATGCATTCAATGATGTCAATAAGCTCCTGCTTGTTGTTCATCGCCCAGTTGATCTTATTGTTGTTTCCTGTACCCAAATCAATCATCATATGCTTATTGCTGCGCACCGCACACAAGTATACTGTAAACCAGCATGCCGCACAGTCCTTTATGTCTATCCTATTCACTTCGGCATTATAAGTATTGCCTGACACCATTGGTGATTACTCCAGTCTTCTATCATCGAGCTGAGTGGAATGAATTCAGTGGAAGCGTACCGGTAGAAGAACATGACTGTAACTGGATCGTACAGCTCATACATAGTGGTAAAATCAGGTACCTCCGTTGTGTCAACCTAAGATAATTCAAAAGGATATAGACTCAGGGATAGGACACAAACGCAGGCTCTGCAACAAAAGAGAGATCTTTGCTTCGGAAAAGACAGCCGTCTTGCCGCCCACAGACAGATCCGGCAAAGAAGGACAGTGGCTTCAAATTATTGATCTTCATATTAAGTCATTCCTAAACCAGCATTAATCGCGGCGCGGAGCCCTAGAATAGAGCAGGACACGGCAACGGATTTGTAGAAGATCCACTTAAATTATCGAGCATTTAATCAAAGACGAACTGCGCTCAAACAAAATAGTCTTGGAATAAAATAGAGGACACTGCATAGGGCGAGCAGGCATGGATGAGCCTTTCCATGAGAATTGAAATCTGGTGGATGTAAGTCAGATGCGCCTTACCACATAAATGACGCAAAAGTTCTTAACGTCTTCGGCGACCTTAAAGAGAAGTTCGTCCATTTTCATGCATTCTGGATCAAAGTCATGACCAAACCGAATGCACTGCGAAGCGAATGCAGAAACGCGAGAATTAGCATCAACAAAAAGCCACACTGCACAGCAGTAAACAGGACAGCGCAAATTCAGAGGCAAAGCAAAAGGAGGCAGAATGCTAAAGGAGATACAAAGTGCAGATGATTAACATGTCGAGGTAACGAAGTGCGACCGTACCACCAGCCGCTCCTCTTCCGTGAGAATAGCCTGATCCTGCGCATTACAAAAGCACGCAGAGCAGTCAAAAAAGGCGGAAGGACAATGAATGGGAAGCAGAGGTAGGCAGGGACGTGTATCATTAAGACTGGAAAGGGGAATGGCGAAGGAAGTCGATCCTGTGGCAATGCGAGCTGAAACATATCAGCGCAAACGCTGTAGCTCTCATGTTTCCATGAAGTTCAGGAAGGGAATTGTTCGAAGAACTGACCACCTGCCATCCTGAGTGAAGATGCTGCAGCATATACGACATCTTCACTCTCTGCGTATGTGGATTCCGTTGTGGATGGAGGCGGCGTGTCCTACTGGGGGACCGCAGGGGTAGCTCGCGCCCTTAGGAAGGGAAGGCTCGACGCAGGATTATAAAAGAAGTTATACCAGGTGTTCGGCTTCAACTACACTTTCTAAAAACCAGCGGACCCCAAGTGCAGGCTAGAAGCCAGGAAGCGCTGCAGCTGAAATGCAAGAAGCGTGCAAGCCACTGCTCAGAGCTGCAATGAAATGCAGGAGCAAAAGAAAATTACACGAATCTTTAGCCTAGTTGTTGCTATGGATAATTCAACAAACAGGCAATTAGCCAGCCCCAAACCCATCAGCTTTGGGGGCCCCACGACCGACTATTTCCGCTCCTTTGGTGCTGGTAACAATGTATTCACATGTGTATCACCAGGACTAATTACAAAAACTATAAGTGAAACTAGCTTATACTATACAATATGTATAATTTTTGTTCGTTAGCGTGCAATGTGCGAAGTTCCGTGCTCATGTATCCTAAGGGGTGAAAAAAGTGCTCTTTCAACGGTATTGATTTGATACTTTCTCCCCTCGCTCATTCCACCCCGCGCTCAAAAATGCTGTAGCGTAATGGGGCAAATAAAGGACAAGCACAATCTCACTAACTGTTGCGCCACCCCTGTGGCTCGGCAGAACCAAACATCTGTTAGTTATTTTGTTCGCTTGTGGCTCGTTTCTGTAAGTATGCTACCACTATGAACAAACCCTTTCCGAAAACGCTCCAAATCAATGCACAAATCAAGTCCCATGAAAAACCACCATTGGAATCAATTATGCCTAGCAGATGAGCAGACGCAAACTTCGTTGCCTACGAGCTCCAACGAGTCTACTTATTACTGAAATGTCTTACAATATAGTGAAGGCACGAAACTTTGTTGATGGTGAGCTGCTTTCTAGAATCAGTACTTAAGATAAAATGCCTGATTGTTTTGTCTTCCTGTACACTTGGTGTACTCATGCAGGATCCTATCTGCTAAATTCAAGGTGCAGTGTCATGTACATTTGCCTGAGATGCTGTGTGGAACTAGCTTTCAGTGCTCAGAGTACCTGCAAGGTACGTACACACCCTAGCGGCCCCTCCCTCCCCGCGTTAGTTACTGAGGGGCGCGGGCAGGCGCAAAAAGGAGTTATTTTGATCAACACTGGATAGGCTTTCTGTTCACTTTGCATTAAGCTGGAGGTTGAGTGTCATCTATGGAGACACCTAGCTCAGCGGTCCAATGCCCACGACATCCATCGCACACAGCACACCTTTGTGTCTTATTACATTGAGCTGTGTGTGGTAGTCTTACCTTCCTTTTCACTGTGTCGTTCGTCAGAAGCCTTAGACTTCGGGTCTGCGCTAACGAGGGAACACACAAATTGCAGTACTGCGCCAACTCCTCAATTGACAGTTCCACTTTATGTCCCATATCAAGTATCGCTACAAATTCGTGGCCATCCATAAGAGCTTGTAGGCTCGTAGAATCGCCTCATGCCCTAACTGCAGCTATATCATCTAGGCCCACTCCCTGCGCCTCAGTCTGCGTGGGGGTGTTCCGTCACTGGCTTGCCATCTTTGCTCACCAAAGATCATGGCTCCGCTAGGTTCCGTTATGTGCTTCAACGTCCTTTGTCTTTTTACATGCACTCCCAATTATGGATTGTAGGAACCCATCTCCCATAATGAAAATATGGCGTTGTTGTGGGCTGTCTGGGGCTGCTCAAAAGTATGTGCTTCCTCGTTTCCTCTGGCTTTCTTT